TTGTTTCCCGCGCGCGGGCGGCCGGGCCTCCCCCCGGCCACAATCCTTCTCCGTTTCGGAGAAGACAACGAAGAAAGGAAAAAAAAAAAATTTTCCAGAAAAAGGAAAAACTTACTTTAACTAATTTCTTTACCAAATTTTCTTAATCCTCAATTTTTCAGAAAATCAATTTGTGAATAACATATAATTCTGAATTTATTCAACAAATTTGATTAAAATCAATCACCAAAAAAATTCACATGATTATTCAACCAGATATATTAGAGATAAAAATTCTCTCAATAATTTAATGTGATGATCGCTCTGATACCACTTGTTGAATCTTTAAATACTTACTCCACATTTCAGGAATTATCACACCAAATTACTAAGAAAATAAGTTAGAACTCTGACATGTTTCCATTGATGCAGCTTTTAGATCTCCGGTAGAATTCTCTGTTTCCATTGATGCAGCCTTTAGATCTCCGGTAGAATTCTCTAAGATAATGAGCACGACGGTTATTGTCTTTCTCAGTCAAATCTCTTAGTTCCTTAATGGGTGTTTTCTCTCTAGATGGGAAAGAATGAAAACTGCCTTATGATTTGACATATTGGGAACCATAATCTTAGTTTCTTTATATACTGCTTCATTAAGTTCTCATTAAACCTAATTGGGTCAATATGGGTATCAATTCATTCAGCTCATACCCTATTAGAAGACTAGTTAGGTTATCAATAATTAAATTATTTAAATTAGCCTAAATAATTAAATAACTTAATATAATTATTAAATAAATATGTGACCCACAATATAAGAAACTCACGTTTCGTAACAAGTTAAACTACTAACATAAAGCGCTAGGCTATAGAAAAATTTATAAGATTTGAGTTGCACAGCAACTAATAATTCGGAGCTTGATTGGTGGGATTGTGATCTGGCTATTTGGATAAGTTTGATGGAAAGAAGCCGAAAAAAGAATTAGTGAGAGAACATTTGGCCGAATCATTCGCATTTTGGTTAATGGTTATGCGTATCGATGTATGTGGCTATGTAATTGTATACATGGCATGATATTGCAAATGCATGACACTTTCAGTAGTACTTTATTTTCTTCTTTTTGCTAGAATACTAGTTTTACAAATATAAAAAAAATGCAAAACGGTTCAACAGCACCCCTAGGAAAGATTACAACAAAAACCCCTCGTGATTTGAGATAAACAACTTAAACTCAACTCGCCCGGGACAAGCCCAAAGAAGAGCCGAGGGCCTCAATCTTGCCCATACTCTCCGGCCGAAGAGAAGAGCGAGACTAAAGGGATGTTGAACAAAGAGCGAAAAAGACTTACAAGAGGGAAGGGGATTAACCTTACCCTTGTGTTGCACATTGGTTCTTAACACTTTTTTTGTGTCGCGTCAAGTCTTTAACGTTATTATTTTATACCGACTACTTCTATTCAATTCCATGCAGTTAAATATTATCATTTTTGTTTTATTCTGTGTTAGATCTTTTACATGCATCAAGTCTTAACACTAGTGGTGAGTGTATCGCGATCTCGGCAGTTATTATCGAAAGTTTTCACCAAATCACAGGTGCAGTTAGAGGATTTTTCTTTTTAGTCATGGTTGTATAACCATGGGAAAGGACACCAACGTTATTCGGTGTAGTGCAATTTGGGCCTTAAGCCTTGACAAACTTTAGATCACCCAAGTAAAATTAGAAAATTTGTGCTAAAAGCTTACAAAAATATAAAAATATCAAATATTAAAAAATAATTCAGAAATCACATTAGAAATCACGCTAATGAAAATATGCAATGTGGTTTCAAAAGTGTTCAAACAGCAAGCCAAAGTGCACTGCACAATTAAATACTAATTAGACCCCAAACCACACAAAAAACAAAAACAAAAGAAAAAAAAAAAGTCGCGTAGTGTCATGCGGTTTGAGCACTTAAATGATTAAGCAATCATATTGCTCACCACCAACATGAAACTCAAGTAAAGGTTCAATTATATTGATTAGCCCAAGCAGATGCAACGATGCATGAAACAAATTCGAGAAACCCAAGGGCAAGTACAACAAGTGATGCTCCCATTTCCTGTTGAGGAAAATTCGAACTACGCCCAAGGCCCAAACACTAAGAGGACGTGTAAAAAAACAATTTTAAAAAAATTTTAAAAAAAGTATAGTTTCACTAAATATTATGGGTCTGTTTAGTTCGCTGAGTCAAATTTTTAATTTGAAGTAAGATATAATTTTATGTGAACTTTTTACTGTAGTAAAAAAAATAGATGTGATTGTTTCTGAGCGCTTTATACTGTAACAAAACTTAAATCGGTGGAATAAATGAGACTTATGTAGATTATATAAATTTCTTTTGAAATGGAAAACACTCGCGTTTGAAACTCATTCTTAAATAATTTTATATTTTGTATGAAAATGAAAATGAAAACGTTTTCAATCTCAGATGTAAATTATTTTTGAAAATGTATTTAATAGTTTTATCAAAAGATTATTTTTAGTGTAAAAAAAATCTATATTAATGTCTCTCTTTGTCCTCTCTGCTTGAGAGAAAAAAAAATAAAAAACGACTAAATTCATTTCTCTCTCATTTTACACTAAATTAAAAAATTATTTTTTTTTATTTTTTATTTTTATTACGTCAAAAATTATTTTAAAAATATTTTTATTTTTTCTTTTTCAAAAAACGTGAAAACAAGATAGAACCAATTCTAAACACGACCTAGCCGTTCCTTTTTCACAACTCAAAACTTTTTTTACGTAAGAAAATTCTTTAACGAAAAAGTTAAATTTAAATTTTTATAAAAAACAACACTATATTAAAGAATTGGAGTTGTGATTTAACAAATAATTCGATTGGTGCCTATTAGAGTTGTACATCGGTCGGTGACCGATGATTTTCGTTGGTTCGGTCACCGACCGACATCATCAGTTTCTCAAAAAACGGAAACCGAGGACCGACGAAATGAAAGGAGAAACCGATGTTTCAGTGGCCGAAAATCATCGGTTCAAATCGGTCGGTCACCGACGCTGCTTGGACGGCGTTTACAAAGGGAGGAGAATGGTCGGCAGCGATACAAGCTTTGACGAAGAAGAAGGCAGTGATGGAGGAAAGTTAACGATGATGTCTGCAGGGGGTACTACGGTTTCGAAGAAGTAGTGATGGTGGCTCAATGGGCTCTAGTGAAACGCTAGCTGCGTTTCACTTCTTTTTTTGGGCCTTTTAACTTCGTCATTTTGGGCTTGGCTAATGATAACTTAAATGGACTTTCTCATGTTGGGCTTTCCTCGTTGTTGAATTTGAGCTTTGCTATTGTAGGGTTTCATCGCAAATGATTTTGGGGATTTGCAGAACTGTCGGCGGCAGCATTTGCAGAACAACGGTCGGCGGCAGCATTTGCAGAGAGGGACGGCGGCGACATTTGTGGAGAGGAACGCCGTAGAGAAAATTTACAAAAAATATAAGTATCTTCGGTTTTTCGGTCACCGACCAACAGAAGAAACTTGAACCACAGACCGACCGAAGCGGCATTCATTGGTTCGGTTCACCAACCGATTGTGTCGGCCACCGCTTGGAGGTGGTTTTTTCTAGTGGTTTTCGGTTGGTGCTGTTAGTCACCGGTGGTTCACCAGTTAGTACCCATTCAATTCCCAATAGTTATAATCATATTGTAGATTTCAGACTTCGCATACAACTTTAACAGTTGGTATGTAACATTGGAATATACTATTAATGAAAAAAAAGTGTCCTAATATAGGCATTGACAATTGCACCGGCGAAACTTTATAAAGGCCTAGTTTATCCACTTTAAGGCCCCGTTCACTTCGCTGATTTGAGTTTATAATTCAAATTTTTCTACAGTAAAAAACTCTCACAAACAATCACATCTAACTTTTTTACTACAGTAAAAAGTTCTCATATAAAATCACATCTCAACTCAAATTCTAAACTCGAATCAGCAAAGTGAACAGGACCTAAGAGAATTAGTACTCAAATATACACTTTGGAAAATGTAATTCTTTATTTATAATTATACGTAAAAGTAACTTGACTAGACTTCTGGGTACCCAGCCAAATTTACAAAACTGAAGCCTGAGTAGAAGATTTTGATTAAAAACCCAAATAAAAATTGACCACGAAAAAGACAATGAGGCCAATGGTCCAAGAGCCGTAACAAGTCGAAATATAATGAAGAAGATGCACAATGTATAACAAAAACAAATAAACGTAATTGTTAACACGAAAAAATCTCAACACCCTAAAACCATCATATTAAATTACCCTCAAAGTAGCAACATAAACGAAAATGTATGGAACTGCCAAAAAAAATTCAAGCGAATGAAATCATCAAAATCCTAAAGACATACGACTACCATAAAACTTAATCAAACAAACTGAAACCCATATCATCATCTGATTCCTCAGCCGGTTCTTCCTTCTTCTCTTCCTCCTTGGCAGCAACTGGGGCAGCAGCGGCACCTGCATCAGCAACCGGGGCAGCAGAAACCGCGAACTTGCTAGGATCCTGCAACCACACCAAAAAAATAAGTCAATACACAAAAAAAATGAACTTTAGCAAATCTAGTGATCTTTGAATTGTCGAAAGAAAAGAACTTTACCTCAAGGAACTCCTTAACCTTTTCAGCCTGTGGAAAGGTGTACTCTGTAGCAACGGCAACAGCAAGGACATTCTTATAGGCATTGGTGAAAAAGTGAGGTGCGGCAGCAAGGGTCGGGTAAGAGATGGCCAATGCCAATGAGGTGACCAATGACACACCGGCAGCAAACTTCTCAACAAGATCATCCTCAGTCAGGTCAAGCACCTCTGGGCTAAAGACTGAACCATTGTCGTAGACCGAAAGGACAACGAGACCATATGAGAAGGGCCTGATCCCAAGCTTGGAAAGGAGGGCAGCCTCGGAAGATCCGACCTTCTCACCCTTCTTAATGAGCTCAACAGGGGTGATAATTTCAACAGTACCCTTGTTAATCTTGGTGGGAATGTTAAGCACCTGAAATAAAAAAAATAAAAGTACTGAGAAAATAAGCATGGACGGAAAAAGAAAAAAACCATGATTTCCGTGGGTTATCAGTTTATCACAAACCTGGAAGAAAGAGGTCTGGGAAGGATCGAGCCCAGTGTTGCCAGGAGGAACAATGACATCAATTGGGGCAACCAAACCAACACGAGCAGGGGCTCCGACCTAGCAAATCCGGAAGACTAGATTAATAAAATTGAGCAAAACTAAGTAAAACCAACCAAAACCAGAAGAAACAATGTGGGGTTATGTAAAAACAAAATGTTCCATTGTTTGAAGAGATTCAGCATTCAAGCGAACTTCAAGTAGATCATTGAAAACACCAGTTCAACATAAAAGAAATTGGTAGTAAAACTAAAATAATGGTAGTGGTAGAAATTACTCATAAGAAATAGAATTTCTTACTTTTCATTCCAATGATATCAATCCAAGATGGTAATGTTAGAAATTACTCGATAGAACTAAAATTTCTTACTTTTCACTCTACTAATATAAACCAAATACTGATATTGCTAGAAATTGATCAAAAGAACTAAAATTTCTTACTTTCCACTCTACTATAATGAATCGATCTAAAGTAATATTACAACAATTTGTCAAAAAATGAGCATCAATTAAATAACAACCATAAAGCGTCTCACCTTGTACTTGGCAACCTCCTCACTAACTTCCTTCAAATCACCCTTGGTGAAAATCAGACCCACGTTTCCCTATTACCAAAAAAATCAAATTAGAACAAACAGAAACAAAAAATGTTCAAAATACAAAATAATAATCATAAAAAAAGTAAATCCAATCCAATCAAAGAACGTACGACAAGGAGAGGAATGAGATTGAGGAAAGCCTTGTTTCCGGTGTTCTCAGAGTGGATCCTAACGGACCTCTTCATCATGGTGTTCTTCCCCATTAGAACGATGGAGTCACCTCGGAGACCCCTCCTGATGCTCTGGAGCTGGTTGGATCCGACATTGTCGGCGGCTACAATCAGGACCTGGGAGTACTCGTCCAGGAGCTGGCAGAGCTTCGCGTCGTAGGCGATCTTCTTGTCGGCCTTGGAGAGCTTTCCAACCATTTTTTATTATGGGATTTTAAGAGAGAGAGAGAGAGAGAGAGAGACTGTTAACAAAAAAAAGAGGCAAAATCGAGGGCCAAGACAAAGCTTAAGGCTAGGTCAAGGCGGACAGCTGAGCAGCGCCGTCTCTTTAACCTCTCCTGTGTTTGGAAATGGAGGTTTAAGGATGAAACCCTAGGAGGATGCTAAAGAAGTCTGGTGAAAGACGGGAAATGTTATGGTTTTGTGTTTATATATGACAATTGTGGGAGGTGGAGGAAGTTGTGTTTTCTGAAAACCTAGATCGGACGGTTGTGGTTTTTGTTCGTTTTGGATCTGATGGCCCTTGCTGATTGCAAGTTGCTTTGGGCTTGTTTTGGATGTTACTTTGGGCTTATAGAAAAGAGGTCCATTTAATCTATGAGACGGGCTTGACCAATAGGGTCCATTTCATGCTTCAACGACGGAAAAATATTTAAACGACAAAATACATTTTTTTTCCCGATAAAATTCGCAGTCATCTTGCTGTTTTCCGCAGTTGAACGACAATGTTTCAAAAAGAAAACGACATATGCACTGATGAAGGACAACAAATGGACGTCAGTCAATGTATCGACAAATGACAGCAAAATATTTTACCCGACTTATAATTGCCCCGAATCGCAAACGACAGTCATTGTATCGACAAATGACAGCAAAATATATGATAAAATACTTGTCCTTCACGTCAATCGAGATGAATCAATAGGATTGCAGCAAGTCGTTTCTACTTGTTGAAAAGACAACAAAGTTTCAAAGAACAAACAAATAATTTATAATTATTAAAAAAAACAAACAAATAATTTATCGGCAAAAGTTTTCACACCAACTACTCAAATAAAATGTCGTTTTCGTGCTTAAACAACCGCAAAATATTTGAACGGCAGCATACATGCCAACCATGTTAGAATTTGAATCAAAATCCTCCCGCCAGTAGTTCTGTGGCAAAAAATTTGAATCAAAACTCAAATTATCGTTCAAATATACTTCCAAACAGGACATATGGCTTTGCCTTTTTCACCGCAATACAACAAAAGATTGAGGGGGAAAACGACACTAAACCTTTTCACTACATGCCGTTTTCCCCCATGCCATATCCATCTAGTATCTATTCTCTCCTAATACATTTTGAGCTTCAATAATTTGAGTTTTTAATTTAAGTTAAGATGTTATTTTATGTGAAAATTTTTTTACTATAATAAAAAAAATAAATGTGACTATTTTTAAGAATTTTTACTCTAATAAAACTCAGATTTTAAACTTGAAATAGACCGTGGCCTACGAATACGCGCGTTTTAACTCGTTTTCTTGGAAATGGCCCAAGTGGGAAATGGCCCAAGTTGATTGGACCTAGAATAGAGGCTAGAGCTGCTGAGGCTGCATTTTTATTTCCCAGTTCCTTTTTGCAGGCGATTCCTCCACCGACAAACCAACGAACAACTAATTTGGTACATCTCTCCGACAACCATTTTTGCAGCTGACGAGGAGGCCTTCTCAACACAATCCCGATCATGGCCTCCCCCTACCGAGATCGGACGGTGGAGTTCCAATCACTCTCCGAGACTCTGAAAAGGATCGGAGGAATCACAGCCGTTAATCAACCCGAAAACTTCCCATCCCCGTCGAAGCCTTCGGCGACTGCATCTTCCAGATCCGAATTCAACAAGAAGGCCTCTCGGATCGGTTTGGGGATCCACGAAACCTCTCAGAAAATCTCCAGGCTCGCCCAATGTATATTTTCTCTTACTTCTTTTTCCGTTTCTTTTTCTTTTGGCTGTGAATTTGAATGAATATATATGTGTATCTATATTGAGAATTGAATATCTAGTGTGAGTATGCGGCCTTATTTTAGTATTTCAGAGCAAGATCTATATGAGAAGAGAGCTGCTGTGCTTTGCTTTTAGATTTTAGATTACGGAAACAATTTATGGGTCTTATTATATGTATTGAACTTATTTGCGTAATGTAAGACGATTTACAGTTGGGTATTGATTTTAAAGTTCAATGGATTAGCTTCTTTATATGGCTTTTGCATAATTTTTTCAGTTGGATTTTTACACTTTGCATATGTCATATATTAGCCTTTATTCGTTTATAAATTTGGAAGCACTTTTGTGGCCTTTGGAATAGATTTTTGTTTGTTCTTTTTCTTTGTGTTCTGTTAAACTGTAGTTTTATTTTTATTTTTTTTAAAGGAAAACTCTTATACAATTCTGATGTGATCTGAAGGTTTAAAACTATGTGCTTTCTGATTTTTGTCAAAACATTGTTACAACTAGGTCTGGAAGCAGTTGAGATTTCAAGTACTGAATGATGTTATGTTGAACTCTGGCTTTGCTGTTTTGTTTTTTTGTTTTTGTTTTTTTTTTTTAATCTATGCAGTGGCGAAAAGGTCATCGATGTTTGATGATCCGATCATGGAGATACAGGAATTAACTGTCTTGATAAAGAATGACATAACAACGCTCAATGTAGCTCTCACGGATTTGCAGACCATTCAAAATATGGAGATTGCAGATGGAAATTACTCAGAGGACAAAGTTGTTCATTCCACGGCTGTTTGTGATGATTTGAAGAGCAGGCTTATGGGAGCTACCAAACAGCTTCAAGATGTGTTGACTGCTAGAACAGAAGTGAGTGCTAACTTGATTTATGAATTATTTACTGCTTAAAATGAAGGCTTTTTTTTTTTTGCTCTCTTATGTATATAAGTTCTGATCCCCTCAGAATATCAAGGCTCATGAGAACAGGAAGCAGATATTTTCCACAAATGCATCAAGAGAAAATCCTTTCAAAAATCAGGCGAAAACTGTGAATGAGCCTCTCCCTTGGTCAAGTTCGTCCAATTCTCTTGGCAGCTCCCAGCCATTGGCGTAAGTACTTTTTTCCAAAATGTTAGAACATTATACGTACTGAAGCAACGTAAAAGTTTTCCACCGCTGGTTTTCTTTTTTTTTTTTTTCAAATTATTTTTGCCTTGCACTTCTCTCTGTATGATGTATCAATAATGGACCTTTTTCTGAGTGTTTATTGGGTCATGACTGAGTTTATTACATGATCCATTCTTTGTTTCTGGAATGGCAGGCCTTCCACTGTTCTATTTCTGGTAAATGATTCATCTTTTTCTCTCTCTCAACAGATTGCCGTCTAATGGAGTTCAAGTTGGTAACCAATTGAGGTACTTTAACAATCTAAACTATACTAGTTTTCTTTATCCCCCTTTGGCAATTTTCCTATAAATGATATGTTGTAAAACATTATATTTCCTGTTAATTGATACAATCATAGATATAAATGCTTGATAAAGATAACTTAGAGAAAGATACATTCCCATCAAATGTCGACATTCGTAGACACAATTTGTATCAATGTTTCCAATGATTTCCATAAAATCAAACCGTCTATATTTCTGTTGGTTATGTTCATTCTTGGCATGTCCAACGCAAGAGCGCTTTATATGCCTATTGCGATTGCTAATAGTTCTCTCTTGCTGAAAATTAGTTGCTTCTATGTTTTAATACTACATATACTCAGAAGATTAGCTGTTTCTGACGGCAAATAGCTGCTTTTAAAACATTGTCAATCCAGACGAAGATTAGCCGCAGACAACCCTCCATCCCAGCAGATGGAAATGTCCATGCTACAACAGGTGGTTCCAAGGCAAGAAAACTACATGCAAAGCAGGGCAGTTGCTCTTCACAATGTGGAATCTACAATCTCCGAGCTCAGTGGGATCTTTACGCATTTGGCTACCATGGTCGCACAACAAGGGGAACTAGCTATCAGGTTCGCTCTTATGTCTTATCGCTTGAATATGCAATGAATCTGATCATCGTGTCTTGGCCTTACAATGGAAATTTTTTATCTGCAATCTAAAGAAATTTTGGACCTTTCATAAAGCTGCTTGTAAATACGTGAGCAGGATTGATGATAACATGGACGAGTCATTGGCGAATGTTGAAGGTGCACATGGTGCTCTTCTGAGGCATCTCCACCAAATATCATCAAATAGGTGGCTTCTGATCAAAATATTCGCTATTTTAATTCTTTTCTTGATCGTATTCATTGTTTTTGTGGCTTAAACTTCAGTATTGAAACCATCAAAAGAAATTCTTGCTGCAATACAAGTCCAGTCTGTAATTGCTTGTTAGGTAGAGGAAACCTCATTATAAGGAGTAATTTTGGCTCCCTTGTGTCACTCCCGTTTGTCTCCCTTTGACCTTGGCTTGTACAAGCTATAGATATAGATTAGAAGAGTATGTTTATAAACATATCGATATAGGATACACAAGAGGTGATCTATTGTCTCTACGCATTTTTATTGCTTGCTTGGCATATTGAATCCATTTCTTCAATATTTTCCTTCAAATTCCCTCATAAAAAATGCAGTAACAAAAAATAAGAGAGAAGGCAAGAAAGAAAAAGGGTAACTTAATAGGTTGGGAACTACAAATAAACTTTTTTTTTCGCACCACAGATAAATAACATTCATTCATTATAGGGGAGGAAAACAACTGCTCAGAACACAACAAGCTCCCTACTATAAACAACTTATAAGTTACTCTTTTTCTTTCTTTGTTTAGCTTGCGAGTTGTCTCGTGCATGTTTAGTCTTGCAAGAGAAAATCCAAAAAGTATCCCTTCAGTTTTGTCTAAATACAACTTTTATCCCTGAGTTTTTTAAAATTTAAAAAGTATTTCCGGTGTTTTTAGGGCCCGTTTGGGTATCTTGTGCTTGTGCTTTTAAGTAGTAGAAGAAGATAAATATGAGTTGGGGCTTTTTAATTAGTACTTGGATAGTGCCCGAAAAAGTGCTTTATATCTAAGAAGAGCTTTTGAACTTGTTTGAGTAAAAAAGTCAAAAGCACTTCTTGTTACATAAAATAAGGGTTTTTTGCACATTTGCCTCTTCAACTTGTCGTAATTTAACAAATTGCCTCTTAAACTTTTAATTTTGACAAGTTGCCCTCTTAACTTGTAAAGTTGTTACAATATACCCCATTTTGACCACGATTGTGTTAAATTAGTGTCAAAAAATCACGTTCAGTAAAAAATTTCAACATTCTAATTCAAATATGACACAATTTTTTTAATATCTCAACTTTTAATCCCTTAAATCTAATAACAAAATTTAGCAAATTTAATTATATGGGATATATTGCAATAAATTTACAAGTTCGGGGGGTAACTTGCTAAAATTAAAAGTTTAATGGGCAATTTGCTAAACCACGACAAGTGTGGGGGTAATCGTGCCAAAAACCTAACAAGTAATGTAACAAAATGATATGAATGAATTATTTAATTTTTTGTTCAAAAATAAAATGTTAAAAATGTAAACAAAAAGCTTTTCATAAACATTAAGGAGATGACTTGTTTTAAAAGTGCTTAGTTAAAAGCTCTTTAAGGTTGGCATCTAAACAGGTTCAAAATCAGCTTTTGGACTAAATAAACCAAAAGTAACTTTTTTTAAAACCAATCCAAACGGGCCTTTCAAAGTAGACAAAACGTATCATCTCTTTTAACTTTTCTGGTTTATTTTTTTAAAATAGCTAAATTATCCTTGGATATCCCATATACTATTCAAATTTTGAACTATACTAGCTTTCGAACACCACTCTTAGATTTTTTTTTTCTTTTTTTTTCAAGTAGCAAGTGGCTCTCTTAATAAATTTACAGTACCAATTTAAACAAGTTTTTTTCAATTTAATTAAGAAAGTGAAATCTTAAAAAAAAAAATATGTAAATTTTTTGTCACGTAATAGTATTAGACAATTCTAGCAAGTTGGTTTATTATGCACTATAAAATACACTTTCACCTCAATTTGGTAAATAAATTTGTCATGTTTTGCCAAATAGAATTTCAAAAAAAAAATATATATTTTTTTTAAAATATTTCACTTTCTTATTAAAATGAAAAAAAAAAGCGAAAAAGCATTCAAAAAAAAAAAAGCAAACAAAAAAACTTGTTTATTTTAGTACCGTAAAAAAAATCTAAGAGGAGTGTTTGGAAGTTAGTATAACTCATTTGAATAATATATTGAATATCCAAAGACAATTTGACCATTTTAAAAAAAAATTAAGCCTAAAAAATTAAAAGAAATGATACTTTTTGTGTAGGTTGAAAAAAATAAGAGATACCTTTTGAATTTTAAAAAACTCAAGGATAAAATTTGTATTTAGACAAACTTAAAGAGATATTTTTTGAGTTTTCTCGTCTTGCAAATAGGCGCCACTTTTATGAATTATGGCCGTGACTGTAAATTATTTAAGTGATCCTACATTTCTAAAGGTTAAAAATAACTTTTGAACTCACTCGAAAGCAACTATTAAACAGAAAAATTGCTCAGAATACCAACAGTATTAAGCACTACGACTAATAAAAACAGGATCCGTTTAGTTCACTGATTCGAGTTTTTAATTCGAGTTGAGATGTGACTTTATGTGAGTTTTTTACTGTAATAAAAAAATTAGATGTGACTATTTCTGAGAACTTTTCACTATAACAAAACTCGAATCGGTGAGATGAATAAGACTTGAACCTACTTGTGATTTGTGAACCCCATATTGAGTATTGCCACTAGGATACTATATCACCTTTTATTTGATGTGTGGTGCTTAGAACCACTAGAACCCTATAGTATTGCTCTTTCAGAAAGCAATGCTAAACAAGCCTGGTAGATCAGAACATCTAGAGTTAGATCGAAAGTCTCACTAGGATACTAGCACGAGACTTGCGAGTCTTTCTCACGGGTCTTCAGGCTAGAGAAAGATTTAAAAAAAAAAAATGCACACACGTAATAAGACCCTTTTTTTTCTTTTGTTTTTTTTTTTTTGGAAGTGGAGATTGCATTTCAAATCAGATAAATACAAACAGTAATTCAGACTGAAAGACCCCAATGTAATTGGTAATCTCTACTGGAGACTGAAACCACTGTTAAATTCGACTGCAATGCTCAAAGAAGTAATACGTGTGATTTTTAATAAGCGGAAACTGAAGAGGCAGATAATTATATTCGAGCATACAAAAACTCACCTCGTTGATATACTATTTACTACCTATCATGGGTTGATATATCAAAATCGTGACAGTTAATTATACCGAAAAGGGGCTATTTTGATTTGACCTCGCCGGCAAGAGATCATTTTCAGAGGGCAATTGACATTGGTACGTGCTTTGTCACCATGCAGAAACACAAGAGGCATATGTGACATTCATTATGTGTGACGCGTTTAGAACTCGTTCTAAAATAATTTTATTTTTTATATAAAAATAAAAATAAAAGCGTTTTCAATCTGAGACAAAAATTATTTTTAAAAATGTGTTTAGTAGTTTTATCAAGAGATTATTTTCAGTGTAAAAAAACTCAATAATGTCTCTCTTTCTCTCTCTGCTCGAGAGAGGAGAAAATGAAAATAAAAAATAAAAAATGACTAAAAGTCATTTTTCATTTCTCTCTCATTTTATACTAAACCAAAAAATTATTTTTATTTCTATTTTTTATATTTATTGCGCCAAACGCCGTTTTAAAAACGTTTTTATTTAAAAAAAATGTAAAAATTAAAAACAGGATCAATTACAAACACGGCCTTAGAATCTCCTGTTGTGCTCCTTTCGGTGCTCGGTATCTGGTCCCTTGTTTGTTTCAGACCCAACTTTTTAATTTGGTGGTTCCTCTTTTATGATCTATAACTTGGACGTCGGATAATAAGAGAAATTAGACGGCATATCTCTATCCTTTAAAATTGGACACGACATCAATTCTACAAGTTTCAATAAAATTCGCCCCCTGTTTGAGTGTGGAAACTTGGTTAAGAGAAAAAAAAAAAAGTATGAAAAATGTTTTAAACCATCAATTATGCGCATTTTTATGAGATTTTTTTTCGATAGATCAGGTTTTCTGTCTGTTGAATCTGCATAAAATCACGTAAAAGTAAAAAAATATGCATATTCAATTGTTAAAAAAACCTAATCTACTAGTATACCAAATAATCTCTCCTTTTTTATTTTAATCGAATTTTAATCATATATTGTAATCAGAAACATGCATATTACTGTTACTACGCAAAACAAGCAAAAAAAAAAAAAATACATACATAGTTAACATGTTGCTCATGTATGCAGAATCTAACATCTAATTGTACAGTACAATTTGGCTTTTTGATCTTTTAGTACTTGTTCTCTTTTTTATTGATGGAGATTTATGGCCTATCATTACTTCTTGTTCTTCGCTTCCTTAATAAGTTTTATAATCCTTAATAGTAACCTAAAGGCTGTAATTTGGTGTCCTTTTCTTCGTGTTGAAAGCTGAATCTTTCTCGGAATAATTTAGAAAAATATGAGAACTTATGTTTGGCATGAATAGTGCTTGTCAATTATGCGATGAAAAGAAAATCAGTTAGAAAGTTAGATGAAAGACAGAAAGAGCTTAAAGTTCAATACAGAAATTAGAATAAAGATCAACTTCTATTTACTACCAGTATGTTGATATCCAAGTTATGCTCATGAAAACAAAATATCTATATATATGACTCCTAAGCTAAAAGGGTTATTTCTTTACCGATAAAAAATAAAAATATTTTATCAATAACACTAATTTGCATTATTTTTTTCCAGGCAAGTCTATGGTAGGGGGCGGCAAAAATCCCTACCGGTATGGTTAGATCTGTAGGTCAATTATGAGTCTTGGTGAGGGTGTATATAGTCTTACACACACTGAATTATTGTAAAAACACACACAAAAAAAAAAAAGAATAAGAAAAAGAAAAAAAAAAGAAGAAGAATATATCTTTTGCTTTACGACCCATCACCGCTCCGACGTCCCCTCAACGACCCGACCCTTTCACTCCCCACCGCCTGGCACCCATCCTCCGGCGACCCCTAGCTTTGCCTTGCTCAATTCCACCCCTTTCACTACATTGCTTCCGAAGCTCTATAATTTTTTGAAAATATCAAAACTAAAAAAGAAAAAAAAAAGAGAGAGAGAAAAAGAGTTTATGGCATCTTCACAACCCAGAAACCAAAAGTTCTTTCATTTTCTTCTTCCACAAACACATCTATGTTCGTCATATCAAGCAGACTCAACAGATTTAAAACACAATAATAATATTACACAAAATTCAGAAAATATTACCAAAGATTACAAAGGGGAACTTTTTTTTTTGTGCTTTTTTAAGAACCCAAAAGATGAGTATTCTTTCATCAATCAGAGACTGCCTGTAAAACAAATTCACATCATTAATTCACTAGACTCATTCTTTTGATGAACCAGCACAAGAATATGAAGAATTGGAAATACAGAGCCACGACAAAGC